TTCCACTACTGTCCTCGTAGGAATCATGGTGGGGAAACAGTCATGCTGCCTCAGGAACTACGACAGTCCCCATCATCTCGCAGCTGTAGAAGTCGCGGCGTATAAATATGTAGTCGATGGACAGATATGTATGAGACCAGAGCTCCCCGAGTGTGCTTGAGATAGAACCGCAACAACGCTGCAGGCCGTTAAATTCACTGCAATTGAAGCCGAAAGTGGTTGGACTTTACTTTGCGGAGTCCCTTTGGCTGAGAGGGAGAGAGAGAGAGAGGCCGTGTGAGTGTAAGGTTGGCGTGCACATTTATTTGGCAGACGAGGAGGTTGATGGTAATACAGCTCTCCTCGGAGAAAGTGGTAGCGGAGTGGGGCTCGTGTTGTTGGTGGAAAGCGAGCGTTGTAGAGGCGAGGCGAGGATGAGGAGAGAATGTAAAAGTAAAGTCAGCCTGCTGCTGCTGCTGCTTCGGGTGGGTGTGCAATGGTTGAGATATTTCTTTCCGTGTCTGTTTGCAGAGCTGGAGGACGAGGAGGATGGGTTGACTTGCACTAAGTGAGTGGTCTTGCTTGCCATCGCTCTCATCTGGTCACGGCTGTCTTTCTCTCTCTCTCGCCTATCCACGGCCAAGTCATTCAGTCGCTTTCTCCATTATTATTACCCTCCTCCACCCATTTCTCCTACTCGATGGTGCAATGTGAGAGGTGGAGGTAGAGAGCCTCGCCGTCGCCATCGTCGTCGTCGTGAAGGGCGATAGAGAATGGAAGCCATCATCATCGACGAGCAGAGTCGTAGATGGCACAAGAAGGGTGTGGGCAGGATGATACGATATTATGACGAGCGATCCTTCTATACGAACATGTTGGGTATAGCAGAGCACAGTGAGATTGGTGAACCCACTCACTTCCGCAGCACATTATGTGCAATCTACATTCACTCAATCCATCCATCCATCCATCCACACAGCTAGGTTATCATTATAGTTGGATGGATGGGTGGGTGGGTGCGAGCTACATTGGTGTTTGAGGCACGGTGAAAGTCTGCCATAAACCCATTTTCCAGCTGGAGTAAAAGGCTGACAACAGAGGTAGAGAGATAGAAGTAGCAACCACGACCGGCTGGCTGGCTGGCTGGCTGTTGTGGCATCAAAATATAATGAGAGTGAGAGGAGTGGTGTAGTCTAACCGCTGCTTTCACCAGACATGGAAACATGCACCCAACCATACCACGCATTTTAGGGTCGCCTCTGAAAAGTGAAAAGAGTGTTGCTGCGTATACGGCGAATGGGAATAAGGGTGTGGTTGGGTATTGATGTAAAAGAGCTGGGCCGCATGTATAGGAAAAATGAAACAAGCAACACGCGATTCAACTATCTCCATCACACTTTTGGCCTCCAAGAGTGTAGTCGTCGTTCCCCACACTCGCCTCGTCGTTGTATCCTCCACCACCTCACCAAAAACTCGTGTCAGTCATTTATACGCGTATAACGTTAGGAAACACAAGACAGCATCATCGCTCGAGCACTCTGGAAGCAGAGCAGCCATGGCGAAGAAAAAATAGAAAAATTTTCCTGTCTCTTCTCAACCGCTCGCCCATCTCTGCTCTCTCTCTCTCGCTCGCCGTGTCTGCAGAAGTTTCGGTTTGGTGAACACTGTTTTTGGGTTGGGAGGCTACGCTACAACAAGTCAGGAATCAGAGAAGAAGCTCCCTCGACTGCAGCTCCTGCTGCTATTTTTTATTGTGCTCATGCTAAGCCTACTTGAGGCATGGGAGGAGGAGGAGAAGCAGCGATGCATTTGACGCTGATATTCGGCAGGAGGAGAGGCGAGCATAATGGAAAAGAATGGAGCGTAATGTGAGGGAGAGAGAGAGACAAGGACGGAGAAAGGAGGGAAAGGTGGGAGTGAGAGGAGAAAGTGTTGAGAGGGATGGAGATGGAGGGGAGCCGCGGAATTGGACGGGAGGACAGGATGAATAGATGTGGGATGAAGTCTCCCTCTCTCTCATTTCTGATAGATGGGCACCACCACCACCATCGCCAGAAGAGAGAGAGAGGAAGAAAGCGGAGAAAGAATGGATTGAACCTACTTTTTTTCTTCCTCCTCCACTCGTCCCTTCCAATCGCACCAGGCATGAAATATTCTCCTAACGGCCGATACTAATGCAACCTTGCAGAGAGATAATAATGCGGGGAGAGAGAGAGGAGAAGGAAAAGAAGTGGATGTGAAGTACTACACACTGCCGCACTTTCTCCCAGAAGACGAATATACGACGACCGGGCTCCTCGTTGTTATCTGCAAAGCTTATTCAGATATATAAATCTATCCGGTGGCGAGGCAGGCAGAGCACCTTTTGGCAATACCCTCCAATGCCCACGGAGGAATGAAGGATATCCACGGTGTGTGCCCCTAATAATTCCGTGTGTGTGGAGAATGCTTTCATTTTTACATTAATAGTAAAGAGGTATTAAGGGGAGTCGTAAGGTTTTTGCCCATCCATCGCCTGGGTTTCGCAGGGATCGAAGGTATTCCGTATTGGAGGAAGTAATGGTTCCAGCTTGTTACTCTCCAGCCAGACGAGAGAGAAAGTGCCTAACTCTGAAATCTCCTTTTATCGTCCAACTCCAAAATCCTTTCTTCTCAGTTCTTCCATCCAACATGGGTCTGTCAGTGAGCCTCCCTATTATTGGAGGCCTGCTGTTGCTGGGTGGCTGCTTTCATGCTGCTCCTACTAGTGCAGGAAGCGAGAGGAGTTGTCCAAATAAACAGGAGTGAAAAATTACAAACCATAAAAACAGGGCCACACCCGTTTGCCAATACTAGATGATTGTCAGTAATTTGCTTCTACTCAGGAGCGCACAAGAACAGTCCCACCGCCCGACCGACAATCAAGGCAAACTACGGCCAAAGAAAACAATATGCATGATTCTGAAAATTGCAACGTTGTGTTGCTTTGAGAGACCACCCTATTTTCTAATAAAGCAGGCATATGAATGTAGGAATCAATGAATGCGGGTACAAAATGTTTGCATATACAAACCCATGTATTACCGTTCGTTACTGACGAATTGAAAGGTTAAAGATGTGGCACATTGAGGACAACAAATAACAAATTGGTTTTGATCCTTCCTTTCCTTTTGATGACTGGTATCTAGTATTGGTTCTACATGTTTTGAGTTTTTTTATACCTTTGCGACCCCAGAGTTCCGACTCTCCAAACCAAGCAAACGCTGCGGTACTAGGGATTACTGAATATGGACACACTGAATTTTAAGTGTCCTGATTTGACGAAGAAATCTGTGGGTCGTCAGTCAGGGAAATGCAGGAGCCGAAACCCCGAGCTCTTACATATGTGCCCCTCACACATTCTTGCACACACAGTCAAAATCATACATAGTTTCAGCCTCGACTACATGCACCACAACTCTATCTTTCCGAAAACTTCTCGACATGCTCGACTTGCCTTTTATGTGGGTTGGATCAAGTGTGTGTGCATGTGAATCGAGTGTTTTCATGAATGAAATTTTAGATCAGAGTGAGTGGTGTTCCCAGATTCCGTCCTCTGTGGCACCATAAACCCGTGTCGCACTTTCCCTTGTTGTGTGTAAATCAAAAATTCTAACATTTGACACACCACGCTGACTCTGCCATTTTCTAGTTTATCCTGAAGGGAGAAGCGGCTGCACTTACCTTGAGAGTCGTGTTTGCTTATCAGCAACATTTATACAGTATTTCATTTATAGAGAAATGTACTGACTGGCTGCCAGAATATGGTTAGCGCAGTTTTCCCCTGCCCTTCAGTTTGAGAAGCACAGTGAGTGAAGGTTATTAGCAACGTTTGTAAATAGTCTAAAGTTCATCTCACCCTGTTTGCCCTGTCTGCTGCTTTATTATTGGAGGACAAAGTGAGGGTACTCACTTTCCTGCCTTGTCATGGATGTGAGGTAGAAGAGGAAGGATTATAATAATCGTTAAGCTCAACTTCATCGCTTCCTGTACAAGTGTACTCTTTCATAGTCGTTGGCAATAATCGGTCGCTTTCTCCAGCCAAGGAACAGCATTTCAGAGATCATTTTCTTTCTTCCATGCCTTCCAGCATGTGTTCACTACCACCTCCTCGCCATCCATCCCTCACTATGCGCGTGGCCTATGTGTGCATTACATTATGTGCTGTGATGTGAGAGAAAGGGCGAAGTCATGATTGCTACGCGGTTTAATGGAGCAGGCTCGGCTTGTTATGTTATGGGAAAGAACAGGAGCAGATAATGCCTTGTGGCGTGAAGAACTATGTACGTACGTACCAGGGGCAAGAACATTGGATGGAGAGCTTTCCTGATGTCCGTGTTATTGTTGGCTATATTAGCACTTGATCTGTCTTCAAATGGGGAATGCGTAGTCTAAGTATACGGCAAAATGAATTGTTTTTAGTGTGTGGACTGCTCATCAGGTCTGAGTTGCAGGGACAGTCGTTGGTTCTGCCCATAAAAGGTCGAGAAGGTCCTAATTACACCGGTACTATATTACTTCACATGAGAAGTCACCGCTACCGGTGAAGGAAGAAGAGCCCAGCACACCACCGCCTTCCTGTCTTGGATAATGGGCATAAAGGGAAACTGATATTCGGAGGAGTAGGAGCAATTTACTGTAAATTGAAAGCAGCACGATGAAAGCATTAGGCGAGAATAAGAAAAATGGCCCATTTGTGGTAATAAACAAGATGAATGTCATCCAATTCGAGATTTTGATGCGGTCTAAAGGGGAAAGATTTTTATTATCCCACCGGGTGGGATGAGACAATTGCTTACTCACTGTATCTCCCTCTCCTCCAAGAAATGAACCAGCGTCTGCTTTTATTCTACTTATTTGGCGTGCTTTAGCATATTAATTTTTTGTTTCTTAACCATGATATTCCACGCTAAGATAATGGCAACCATTATTTTCTTTAATTTCTCCTGTCACAACAGGTTTTAGGGATGGCGTTTAATGTGTCTCTTTTTAAATATTTGTAGGAATTACACTTGAGGGATCCAACTTCTGGAGAAGACGAGCACGATTTGCGGGTTAGGACCAAAGGTGAGGTTAATATGTATATAAACTACAAATTTATCCGAGTGCACTGTAAAAGTGCCGATTTCTGTAGTAAAGAAAGGCTTAGTAGCAACCGACCCCAACCGGCATTGCTGCACGACTCGAATGCATAATGTATGACTTACTTATTACGTATGTGCGTTGTTTTGTCTAAAACAGGCTCATCGGGAAGATCAAAACATGGGGAAGGGAAAGATCTCAAAGCAGCAGCAGCAGCAGCCGAACCCATGGACTGGCTCGACTACGGACAGCCTCTTGGAGGCAAGAAAGAAGCCACAAATAACAATATCTACAGTAATGGGAAGCACGAATTTAGAGAACAATCTGTGAGTCATTCTTTTCAATTTCCCCATTCAGTACCCTTTCCCCGTATGTATGTAACTTTCCCCGTATATCTAAATGCATGCACATATTACGTATGTGCACAACACGAGAACGCTTCCCTGCCTGTTTTTCTTTCTGGTCTGTGTCGGGATGAGACGAGATTTGTTCCGAGATGGGCGAGCAAGACGGCTGGCAGGGAAATGGGGGTTGACTCAGATGAACTTGAGTGAAAATGTAATATCTTTGATGCTTATGGGATTTTCCGCTTCACAGAGTCTCTTGTCACTGAGTGACCGGGCAGTCAGTCACTCTGAAACCATTCATGACGAAACTTCATCAAATGGGAATAAAGATGACGATGATGACGACGATGATGAGTCGGAGGACAGGATGGATACGCAACAATATGATCCAGAACGTCTCAAAGCATTCAATGTAAGTACACATAACATTAATTCATAAATATGCATGTTGCAGCAACAACAGGTTTCTCCATGTCCAAAGCTACATAGGTTAGGGTAGGCAAAATTACACTGTAAGAAGTTGCCAATATATTTACAACTGTAGAAGCCAAGTTTCTTGTCGCCATTCTGAGCGCACAAACGAAACGATGGGAGAAGTGAGCGGAGAAGGGTATGACAGAATCAAATTGATTCATGAACATAATTACTTACTACGAAGAAAGACGAATGGTTGGGTTCACACACAATATATTTCAGAGCAATATATGTCCCTTCCTTAGTTCGCACCGTATTCTTGGGAGAAGGAGGAGGCGAACCACTTTGTGTTCTGTTTCATTCAATTCCAAAGTGATTCCAATTCAACTCCGGATTTCTGTGGGTTTGTTGGAAACCAAAGCGAAAGACAGTATTTCTCCCAAGTTGGATCTTCCTAATCCGCTCCTTTGTCGTCTTGCCACACCAAAAATATTCGCACAACATATTGAGGCTGCATATACATAAATGCATACAGTCTATACGTACGTATGTACATCTGTGTAGCATATAACATCGCAACGAATCTACTTGTTACGCTTTGTTTTCCAACCTTGCTTAATACACAGCACAATTTGTGGTCCAGAATATTGATGCAGATTGTGTTGCCAGTCTGGTGCAGATGCAATTTGCATTATATGCGTAGGAGGAGTGTATTCTTGTAGGGATTCTTGGCTCTATGTACATAATAACATTTTTCTGCATCCACACAGTTACCGATATGGCTTTTCATACCGACTTCTTCATGACCTGCAATATGAGAAAATATATTAGACAAACATTACCAAAATGTGAGCAAGTGTGGTGGTAGTTATTTTGTGCTTCTGAACTCGGCAGAGTCGCAAGAGGAGCAAGGAAGCGAAAATGGTAATATAAAGGTCTGAGAACTTCTGAACTCGAGCAATCTACGACTCGTGGAGGTTACCAAGGGCTGAATGTCAAAGTAGCTCGAGCAGTACGGGTGGAATATGGGAGATGATAACTCAAAGCAAGTTGGGAGTCGTGGGCGAGCGAGCGACCACGCACCAAGGAAAAAGCGAGCGGAGAGGGAATGTTGGCATTATTGTGTTGACTGATCCTGCGAGGAGAGAGCAGTGGGAAGCATGACAAAGAGGGAGAGAGAAAGTCCATGGCTGTGTGATACCTTATTGCAGAGGAGTGACGGGGGAATGAGAATTGGAGAGAGAGAGAAAGGCTGGTGGTTTGGGCAGGATGAGAATAAATGGAAATTGGAAGCCCTGCTGGTGGAGTTGGAATTTGGCATGGCATGGCGTGCTGTTATTCTGTGCATGATGTCCTCCACCGCGAGGTAAGTTCTCATAATACATACGAACAGAGGAGGAACACAGAGGAACGACGACCAAGAATTTATTCAGCCTACTGCTTATGAAGTGGGCGAGGAAGAAGGCGAGAGAATAGGCACACGAAAGCCAACCAACCAACCAAAACCCCGTCTCATAGTGAAATGGTAGCACTCTTGGTAGCACTCGCACAGGTTTATGCGGTAGACAGCAGGTCTTTGAATTGGATCGATCCAAACCGTCCAAAATCCAAAGGTTCTCCCACTCCTCTCTTTCCTTCTCGTTCTGACTGATGTCTGGAAAAGGAAGTCAGAGGCTCCCCGGTGGCTAAAAAGATGGTACAGCGAAGGAGGAGGAGGAGAAGAACAAGGCAAAAGTGGCCACTTTATGCGGAGAAAGTTTCATCTTCTTCTTCAGATGCGGCTGTCTCCCTCCCTCCCTCATTGCATTACGCGTATAGTGGTGGCAGGGTGCTTGAGATCAGGATGCCATCCATGCCGCAAGCAAGGACACGACGGAGAAGCTTGCAATCTTCTCTGGATTTGTTGTAAGGAAGGGCACGAAGACGAAGAAGAAAAAGGGTATTCACTGAAGTTTCCCTTTCTGCCTCTTTCTCTCTCCCTCCCGCTTTCTCCGTGCCACCCAGCCAGCAGATGATAAGACTGGAAATTGTGCTGGCAGATGAGAACTACCAGGAAATGGTACCACTCAGGAAGGTTGTTAAATTTTAAGGAAGGTACGATCTAAGCTCTCTCTCTCTCGCTTTCTTCTCCTCTGCGGATGGGAGCCATTCCACATTCCAGACTTTCCTCCAGCCTTGGCAGTCAGCTGCAGACAAGCTTTGGGCAATTCAACTTCAACTTCATTGGTCCGCATTTAAAGCAGAAGAAGAGGCCCATAACGCATTGCATGTGATGCCATGTTACTCGGAGGAGGATTGTTTAGTGCCAGGGACAAGCGAAGCATGCTGCCTTAGACCAGAGACGATGGTGAGGCGAGCGGGAAAGGGAGGGAAAGGGTTGCTTCATGTCATGTGAAATTTGGAGAACCGAACAGAAGGTGAACATTGTGAGACAAGGAGAACTTCTCGAGAGAACGGAGGACTGGGAACGGAGGGAGCGAGAGAGAGAGAAAGCGTGAGATGGAAAAAGAGGAAACAAAGTTGGTTGGCAGTGGTGGTGGTGATACTGGACTTTGAGAGAGTGGGAGAGAAAGAGAGAGAGAGAGAGAGAGGAGAAAGAAGTTGCCTTGACACGGGGCACAAGATGAGCACGGGTTGGTGGATCAGTTGGATGGCTGCTGTGTTACACAACAGGAGACAACTCGTTGTCTGGGGATTTTAAGTATTAGCAATGCTGCATATTTGCTACTGTCACTGGAACCCCCCAATGTCACGCAGGAATGGTTGCTCTCTCCTCTCTCGTTGCTGGATGAAATGTGTCGGAAAAGAGAAAGTGGGAGTAAGCAAAAGTTGAATGCGAGCGAATAGGTCTGCTGCCAGTTGGAGAAGTGTGGGTCCGTCATGGCAAAGATGGATGTCGTGGTGGCTAAGACCAAGAAAGAATGGGAGATAAACTCAAGAGTTACTACGGTCGCGAACATGCATGCAACACACAGTCCTCGTACCGTTCAATATGCCTTTCTTTACCGCCTCCCATATCCAGTAGAGAAAGAAAGTAAAGAAGATAAAGTAGCATAGGCTCCAAGTCCAAGGAATTACTTATGAGGGATTGCATTAATGTGACCAATTTTCTTGTGTAATTTTAGCTCTTTGTCCGAATGTTTGTGGACGAAAATTTGGATAGGATGGTTCCAATTTCGAAGCAACCGAAAGAGAAAATTCAAGCTATTATCGACTCTTGCACGCGACAGTTTCCAGAATTTGCTGAACGGGCTCGAAAGCGGATACGGACTTATCTCAAGTCATGCCGGTAAGATTTTGATTAATTTATCGTGTAGATAGATATATATATTTGGACATGCCGTACATAAATGCATACTTCGTAACCCAAGCCTCCCATTAACATAACATTGTATTTCTACAACAAGTCACGAGTCCATGAATTTGGTGTGAGAATAAGGTTCAGATTGATACATTACTTGGGACAACCGGCAAGTAGTAGGGGCGAATCATAAGTATACTCATCACGATGCAGTATCCGTTTAAGTAGATGCGCATTTATATGTCTCTAAAAAAACTGGATTATTTCGGCATAAACACACTCTACAAAAATACACAAGCAATTTAACAGAAGCGTTTAGAAATTTCTAGTCCATTAATTATTTTTTTTACTCACTTACAGAAGGAACAAGAGATCTCGAGATGGAGGGTGGGAATCGGTACGTGTCTCGTTTTTCATTGCTTCAATCAAACCAATAAAGTTATGCGGCATGCAGGTTTTTCGATAAATTTAGTTGCTAGCAAAACCTGCAGTTGTTGACCCAATGCCCCTTTTCAGTCAAGTTCTTGTTCAAAAATGTGCTGGCCACATTTGCAGAAGAAACATTAATAATTCAGGAGAACTCATCCAGAGTCTCATTAGAGCATATCCCTCGTATTTAGGGAGTGGAGGGACAGAGTGGAGGTAGATAATGGAGTAGAAAGAGACATTAGACTGTTGTTCTCTCAAGTGTTATAATGTCCCAACTTTGTTTTGTACAGAGCCGCCCCACCCCTGCACATCTCACGTCTGTACAAGCCGAACAAATACTGGCTCAAGCGTGCGAGAATGAGTCGTATAATGCTACCCTTATGAGAAAAGGTTTGGAACCTGTTAGTCAACCTTTACCCATATTGGTAAGTTATTGTGTTAATAGCTGAACTTTCTCCAGTGAAAAGTTGCTTCTTTTTTGCATTATCCATGAACCGGCAGAGTACAAGGTAGTGGTGGTGACGACTCTTCGGCCCCACACTCTCAGAAATCTATGTAGCTGCGAATGAATAATAAATATTAATAACGCCACGTACCAGCCCATGCTTTCTCTCACTTATACTTCCCGTCCTACGCTCAATCCTCCTCTGAGGCAGCAAGAAAGAGGGAAGGACGGCGAGAGAGAAAGAGAAAGAGTGAGAGCGAGAGGCATGGGTGTGCATGAATTAGATTTGCTTTCTCTATGCAACTTTTTCCACTTGATAAAGTCTGTCAGTTTGGCCCACGCCAACGTATTTATTCCAAGGTGTTTGTACAACATGGTTCATTATATAATAGAGTGAAAGTCGGAGCAGCAAGGAGAACGGACACCATACATCAAGCTCTTCCGACTCTTCAGAGAAGCAGAGGGAGATCAGTAAGGGTCCTTCCCACACGACCACTAGTTCCAACAGCAGCATTGCTGCCACAATTGCAGGTTTGTTAACAAGAAATGATTTTTATGATTACATTTTATGGTTGAGACCTTTCGAATTTATTCGTTTTTTTTCACCAATGAAATCCGAAAGTTAAATATTATTGAATCTGTTGACCAAGAGTAGTTAATTTAATCAATGAGTAAAGAAATACACAGATTCTGTAACTCGTGCGTAATTTGTGCTTTGTCACAGCGGTGGCATCCAACACCACAACCGTTAATTCCCTCTCTCCATCTTCATCCTCAATCACGGCGACGGTTTCCAACGATCAGAAAATAAATCTGAGTCTTAATGGCGCCACTGCTTCCAACGGAGAAAGTCTTGTTAATCAGCTTGCATCCTCGGTTTTGGGCAAAGGGTTGGAGAGGAGTCCACTCGTGGATTACAGGTAATTATGCTTTCACCACTCGACTCGTGGTTACAAGTGTTGTTGTTTTTGTGCGGAGCCCATGCAACTTATATTTGGACTTGTAGCCCCGTCTCCCTCCCTAATTTTGTCATTGATTCCACCCGTAAACACATATCTCAAGTTCCACTTTTGACAAACATTTCATTTTGTCCACTTTGCTCTACAGAGAAGGTAGACGTGGGTTAATAATCATGTCCATTGAAATCGCCCACAAAATTGAAACAATTTCTGCTTTTTTGAGGTTGAATTCCCCATTACTTCTGAATTGTCTCAATTGGGCTTCTCGTGTGGAATGTTGATTGCTCTCCCCACTCCTCCTCCTCTGCTCCTGCCATCGACTGAATAGGAGGGCAGAGAGCACATAGTTCTGTTTGAGAAGGATCAGAGCGAGTTGAGACTGAGGGTGCTTTAACGATACGATGAACTGTTTGCTTTTTCAGCCGAACGTTGAATGGCAATGGAGCAACGAGCATGTATCGACCGAACTTCAATCAGACGTTCCAGCGACCATCACCCTTTCCAAGTCTCTTCCCAACCGTGGCTGTTGCCTCCGCGACTGCCGCCGTTGTTGGTGCTTTGGGCAACTCTACCTTTCCTTCGAATGTGTCGCCGCTGCCCCTCGCCAACGGTATGCAATTTTACACCACATTCCAGTTTATGTTATCTCTCATAAAATGACATCCCGCACGGCTGCCAGAAGCCACGAACCAGCCTCCACAGTCAGACCTTTATTACACGAACATCCAGTGATGCACTCCCTACTTAAGAGGGGACATCATCCTCCCTCTGCTCATATCCACACTCGTCTCGGCGGAGGGAGGGAGGCGGAAACTGAGACAAATAACTCGCAATGAGTGTAGGCTTTCTACTCCCACTCCTTCCCACTAGAGAAACGGATGAGACGGTGGTTCTGTGACAAGGAGAAAGTGGGAGAGCGAGGAGTAGAAGGAAAGTTCCTGTTGTGAGGGATCAGCGTATACAAGAATTCACTACTGAGGAGAGATCCTCTTATTATTATTACCACTTCTCTCTCTCTCCCACCAAGGATGGGTAATATTTCCTTCCTTCTTTGCCCCCAGAAACGACCCACGCCAAAAAACACTGCTTTCCCGGAGTCACATTGTCCCTTAGATTTGAATGTTTCAGGAAAAAATGCGAGATTTTTATATTTTGTAGCAAATATTCTAGTATTCACGAAAGCCAAAAAGAACATAAGTTGACTTGGCTGTCGACGAGTAACCAGTTGCATTGGTTGAGAAGTTTGTTTTGCGAAACTTCATGCAACTCATAAATACATGAATTCAATTAACGAACACTCACGTGCGAAGTATAATTCATGCGAAACTAAAGAATGCATTTTCTTATAAGAATAAAATGACTGATTCTTTCGTATTTTAGGTGACATAGGACCCACAGACTTGAGCATGAAATCAAAACCGCTTTTGGCACAAAAACTGAGCACTACGGATGTCACAACGGTTCGGCAGGTTAGTACAATTCTTTATTGAACCTGTAACTATATTGTCACAGTTTTCTCATAAAGTTGTAATCTTTATTGCATTGCAGTTGATAACTGGTTACCGAGAGTCTGCAGCGTTTTTGCAGCGGTAATAATTTGCACTCTTATCAAAATCATGAAATTTATAAATCTTACAATTTAAATGACTCGTCGAGTACACCTTCCCATTCTGATTTGCAATCTATTTATCTGCAACAAGTTGTGTTTCTAATTTTAAATTTATTAAAATTTCAGATCTGCGGACGAACTGGAGCAACTTCTCATTCAGCAGCATCAAATAACCTGAGCAAACTTTCCCTCAACTTTCCCCGCTACTACTTGTTCTTCTTCCGTCGTATTCTCACTACCATCGTCAACGGGGAGTCACCACTTGGAAAGAGTGGCAGCCTGCATGTTCACACGTCTCGTTTATGTGCAAGCCTTAATGGCTATGAATTAAATTCCATTTTGTTATTGAATTATGTATTAGTTATCAAATTTAACGTCACATTGCATAGATTTATACATATATATATTTCATAACTGTCGCTTTTACTAATAAAAGTCTTCACAGTAGACGATACATACTTGTCGTATTTGGTGTCCCCTGTAAAACGGAGAGGTTGCTTAAATCCGTTATTATCCGAATCGTATGCCCATCGTTGTTCTTCAGGTATATAACCGTTTCTAGAGCTAGTTTAGTCTCCAACCCTCTCGCGAAAGTATTTTTGTGTGTATTCTCTAGATTAAATCAATTGCATTGTATCAGCTTTCGGGGAATTTCACTCGTCTCATCTTTAAAAATACTACTGCCTTCTCTCGTATGAACATGTGTATGTCTCATGCAAATTTCGAATCACACGATGAACTAAAATATTTCCAAACACGGGTCAGTTGATGAGATAGCATTCCTAGGACTCTGAGTCCTGAGTACTTAGAATTGAGAATGGCATATTTGTAATTTTTCAAAAAATATCTCAATGTTATGATAAATCCCTTATTTGTTGATAAATATATGTATGTCTAAAAACAAGGCAGAGGATGTTATTTAAAAAAAGTAGCATAACAGTTCAAAACTTACCGTCAATTCCCATAAATATACTTAACATGATATCAACAGCTTAGATATATATTCACTTTCAATCCTATTCAAGTACATAAATATATGTAAATTAGAAGAAGTAGTCACGCCTCGAGTGCTATAGTATTTACTTTAAAAACACGTCGTCGTCGCATAAAATATATATGTATTATTTTGCTTCATGTTCTCAATGTCGCATGTTATTGTTGACTACGTTCTAAAAATATCGGTAAAAAATTATATCTGGACAAGCGAGGAATTAACACTTTGTTGCTATAAATAGATAATTGCCCTGCCAAAGGGAATTACAAATGTGCTGTTTCGGAATTATTATAAAATTAATTTTACTAGTTAAATTATACCAAAGAACATGATCAAACTAAATGTCTGAAGTCGCATCGTTTTTTAAAAAAAGATAATTTATTTTATATTCATGTTCCGGACTTTACATTTTCTGGTTCATCCCCATCTACGTACATACAGAAAGTAGTTCGTTGACGTAATTTTACACTTGTAGAATTTATTAAACATTACATATTGTATGCACTGTTAGAAAATGTTAGTTTACAAAGTTATAATAGCTTGAAAAAATAAAATGAAAACCATTCAGCTTTACTGCTTGTTTTTTGAACAGCGTTTACTAATTTTCATAATCATTATCAAATTTATTCGGATTTATGCTATTCATGGGACAACGGCATCCTAACTAGTTTTTACAAAGTTTGACATATTAAAAAAAATTGCATCACCATGTCACAAAATTATTTTTCACTAGTCCTCGGTCCTGGTCTTTGCCCAAAGCCCTACATAAGACAAAATCCGGACAACGAAAATTAGACCGCCTAGCGATCCAAGAGCAATCCCAAAGTTGTCCTAAATAATTTATCACGGTTGATGTACACATGTTTATCTGTATTCAAATATAATGACATTTCCGCATGATTACCTCTTTAAAACTCAGCATTTGCAGAACACCTTCCCCAGAATCAATGCACCCTCCAACGTTACTGCAAGTAATGTTTTCGACTCCTTTCCATTGATTTACAGAGCTTGAATGATGATTAAATTGTTAATTTAAGTGAAGAAATTAATTTTATATTGTACCAATTTATGTGTATGGGTTTACAATGCTTCATTCCCATGAAGAAACCAAGACAAGTACTTCAACCAAATGAAATAAGAAGGGATCGAGCTGTTAAATAGAATACTTATCAATTGGCCTTACCATTTCAAATGTATGTAAATACACCCCTTGTTCTTACTCTTTGTTTAGGAAGCTACCCCCAAAAATCATGAACGGCATTATGAAAACTGGAGCTAATGCAAGTGCCTAAAATAAATAATTTCACGCAAAAATAAAATACCTTAAAAAATCATAACCCATATTGCAACCTCTAACCATTTCTAGAGATGAGGATACAGTGGAAACCATGTACCCTGCATGTATTAATTGTATTTTATTTGCACGTGTCCAACTTATTGTTAAACCAACAAGAAAAAAAGCCTACCATAAGAGGAAGACACATTTGTGATCAAGATTGCAATGGCGATCGCGATCAGAAAACGATCTGCACTAGGGTTCATTCCAACCATCCAATATCCAATGGATAAAAATATAGCAGGGAGGAAAATATAGAGCGGTAATTCTGCCGTTGTTTTAGCTAAATAGTAGGCGTCCGTTCGGTAAGTTCCGTTGTAATGCTCTCGCATAAATACTGGCAATTCGTTCCAAAATACCTTTTCCGAATGTATCATATTCAGTTAAGCAGATTTAAGTTAACTTAAAAAAAATAAATTTTTACATTGGCGACGGGAAAGACGCTTGAAAATGTAAGGTTTGCCAACATCATGAAAATGAAACCGTTGATGTTTTGTATGCCTTCTTGATCCAGTTCTTGGTCCAAAAAAACAATCCCCATTATCACGGAAAGAAACTGTCATACAACAAATAGCTCAAAATTAAAGGTTCCAATTATTTTCATAGTTATAAATATTTTGAGAAGTTATGCTTACCACGGATTGGGCTAGCTGCACTTTAAGTACCAGTGGATCATTCAAGACCGTTTTTCCTGATCTCCAAAGACACGCCTTGAACTGGGTCCACCAAGAAGCTTTGTATGGTGATGTTGTTACCAATTTATTTCGTGTAGAGTCACTGGCACTGTTTAGTTGAACCAAGTTATTCAAATCGTGAGCAGTCTGTGTATTAACAAAATCATTGCAAATATTTCCTGATCTCTTTAAACAAGCTTCTTCATTTCCAGGTCGTATTGCTAATGTGAAAATAAAATAATCCGCTGGATTGTAGTTCATCGGACAAGCGTAACCCTCACTAGGACATAAACAGACCTTGAGACATTGTTAGGAATTAAATGATTAAAAATATCTCTAAATGTATTACTTTGAAAAGAAAGTTAAGGAATCTGCACAATCTCCAATGAACGCCGTACGACCTTCAGACATAAGTAAGAGTCGATCAAAAAGTGCAAAAACTTCCGATGCGGGTTGATGAATTGTACAAATGATAGTTTTCCCTTGAGCGGCCAAGGTCTTTAGTGATTTGACAATGGATTGTGCCATGAAGGAATCGAGACCTAAATATTAGCAGAACAAGTGTTCAGTGCATTTAACTATTTCAAATATACGCTTATATTTAATTAAACTGGAATTACCTGTCGTTGGTTCGCTATATTAATTAATTGTAAATATTAATTAATTAAATTGATTAATTGGACTACTTAAATTTGGTGGATATGTATGTATATGAAATACTCAGCAAACAAAATTCCAGGATTTGTGAGAATCTATTTATCATATTTGCAAAAATTGGAAATCGTTAATTGCAAAATTTCATTAAACTGTAAAACCTAATAAAGCTTACTTCTGTGGCGATTGACAAGCGTTTTTGCTGTCCACCGGAAAGACCTTATTACAATACTCCCCCATTATAATAACAACCTTACATATTACAATAATATATTAATGTGTGTATAACCTTTCACTCGCCCTGGGATTCCGATAATCGTATCAGCGCATCCAGTTAAGCCCATCTTTAAAATTGATGTACGTTTAAATATTTATTATAGCTTTTGGTACAATATTTACACCCACTTGTCTGATAACTTCCTCCACTCTTTCCATTCGTTTTTTATATGGAATTGCCTGATCCATTCGAAGCGTTGCTTGAAATTGCAAATGCTCTCGAGGCGTGAGCGTTCCAATAAAAATCTATAAAATAAATCAGCCAATAATTATGTATGCACATTTCTTAAATAAATTGTTTCATACATCTGACTGTTGAATATACGCAGAAATCGAGGCAAGCATTGTTCTGTCAACAGGCGTCCCATTAATAAGCCGTTCTCCAGATAAGTTCAATTTTCCAGTATTTCGACAGGTTAGAACGTTCAGGAGTGTTGTTTTCCCTGCACCACTTGCTCCCATTATTGCGAGCAGCTCCCCAGGTCTAGCAATTCCGGTAACTTCAATATCGAAATTTTTTAAATGATCATATTAATACCCTACATACTTCTTAAAGCCAAATAGCTACGAATAAGTAAATCTTTATATGTACGTGCTAAATAATTACCATTTTTGAGAATATGTTTCTGCTCAACGTTTCCCTTCTTATTGAAACAATTTGGAAGTTTGCTGTCACTTTTCTTGTTGGCATATACATTGATGTCACTCCAAGTATATGTCATTCCACCAGAATGACGTACCCCGGCCTCTTGACCATTTACTTCAGAAAGCTCGTATGCTGAGTTTTCATATCCTTGTTTATCCCCCTATGAAAAACATGCGATAATATGATGTACAATTTTATCCAGATAATCATACAACTACCCAACAGGCACGTACCTCGACAGGGATGACCTGCGACATGATGACGAGAATAAAGTAGAGGATTTATATGTAGAAGTAGAAAGGAGCAATATTAATCGTGGAATATTAAATCGATATTGCCGAAATGCCGACCTGTTGTGTCTGTGTCCCAAACCCGGAATAACCGACATACAACTGGATACAAGGTTTCGTAAATCAAATGGTTGATGGTAATGTCGATGTCGAGTGGCCTGTGTAGTAAAACATCACGTGGATGAGGACAATTGATCTGTGCACTCTTGAGAATCATATCTCAAATCAACATAGAGCACTATTGGGTTAATATAATTGGATTAAAGCTCGTACCTGTATGAAAAACGATATACATGAACCATATAATCCGAGTAATCCGACCATGTATCATCGATAAGCTCAACATGCTGCACATAGTATGTACACAGCAATGTAAGTAATTATATCAATGCACATTTGGAAGTTTCAAATTGAAACCCTTGTTGGTCATTGGTAGCGTCAAAACTTCACAAATACAATACATTCGTACGTAAAATCAGTTAACGTATCACTCGGTCACTCACTAATTGAATGCATCGTAAACTAACATCAGCAAATGTGTGTGACTCAATGTCAGTTTTTGATAATAATAAATTGAATTCATACGTCATATGAAAAGGAGTTCATAGGGTAGATAGTTTACATTCTGAGAATTGCATAGCAGCAGTAACAAAGGATTCAGTTCATGCAACAAAAATGGTGATCTCATTCTCATCTGAACGGCCTAACTGCGTCACACGGCTAATTATACTTTTATTATAAGTAATAAGCAGAGTAAATTACAAAACTAAGATCTTGGCTTGAAGGTAAACGTGCACAGACAGAGACAGGTGCGCAGGTGATTGTTTGGTTTCCAATCCAAATACTGTACATATGTGGATGACTCAGAAAAATTATATCAAATATTCTAATAAATAAGCTAGCTACTCGTTTATTGCTCATTTATTAGCTCACTCGGTATATTTCTCATTCCAAAATACATTAATAAGTAAATCAGATCAGAGTTCTAACGCAGTTTAACTTTAACTACTCAATCGATTGAAATCTTTCAGATTTGTTAACAAAAATTGCTCAATATTTCCATCTCAAATATACTCCAATAATGCATTCTTTTATCAAAACGTTAGTACTCGTCCAATTTTGTGTTGTCGGCGGACATGGTCAAAAGTTATGCAATTTTTCTGAATCTGCGAAAACCAACGTGCCCAGTTTCATCCAAAATTTCTCAACGAGCAAGTGCATGCGAGTGTCTGGTTTTGGATTCAAACCAGCTTCAAAAGTACTCATTGACGAGTGTTCCTATTGGTCAGTGTATAATTTATTTTATTTATTCTATTTTTGCAATATCTGTATTAAAATTATGCTAATATCTTTGTCTTTATTACGTGTATCACTTGTTCATATAAATCAGTATAATAAAACTTCAATTCAATAATATTTTGCAGGAACAAAGCCACAACTGACCAGAAATTTACATTGGTGAACAGCACCCTGAACAAGGTTCTCCTTAAAACGGATGCAGGAAACAATGACAGTTACTGTTTAACTACAAAGTACGACAATCTCTTGACGGATACTTGTCAATCTCTGAATTTTGACCAAAACTGGACTTTCAAGCCGGTGTCAGGGAAAAAAGGCTGGTTCCTTATTGAGCAGTACTCCTCCAAAAAGTGTCTCATTCCAAAGTCAAGGGCCACCGGAGCTGGAGTTGAGCTCCTTCCATGCAATTCCTACCAAACAGAACAGATTTGGAAGATTTGCATGTGAGATTTGCACTTGTTATCCGTCTCATATTTCATTTCCTCCCAGTCATTCAACAGAACAGTATCTGCATTTATTCATTCATTCATTCATTTAGAATTTTAGATTAAAAAAACCTATCAGTACAGCTTTGCTTAGCCCGAACCAGGAATGATTAGTAAACCCATGTTTGTCAGTAGTTTTCTATGAAATTAGGTGCTACTATTTTCCATTAATTCTTCCATCAATCCTTCGTATTACTAGGCTCCAAATTCTAAAAAATATTTACTATCCCTTCCCTTGACTACTTCCTAGTGGAGGTCGTCTCTATAGCCCACCTGGTTAATTTTTGTTCATATTTAACTTCATGATATTTCGTGAAAAAGCAGTATGGATCTCTGGTCCAAATTTCAGCTTTCTATGTTAATTTCTGAAAATCGGTGGGGGTCACCCCACAGGGTCCCTCTAGATGAAAATTTTACCAATTTCACTTCATATTCTTCCATTTGGGGACATTAGCAGCCTCTATATCAAATTTCAGCTCGATTGGATGATTTTGAAAAATCGGTATGGGTCACCCCCTCGGGTACCTCCGGTTGAAAAATTTTCCAATTTCACTTCATATTCTTTCATTAGGAGCCATTGTACCTTTGTACCAAATTTGAGCTTTCTATGACGATTTTGAAATTTTGGTGCATAATACCCCACCCACTCCGATGACCCCCACCGGTCAACCACTGGACCAATGTCACCCATCTTCGAACTCGTTTCCTAACTTTGTCCAATATGCATATGGTAAAAATTTCAAGTCAATTGGTCAACTCGTTCGAGAGTTATCGGAAGACAGACGGACAGACAGACAGACAGACAGACAGACGGACATGACAATTACATAAGCCCTGGTTCGGGCTAATTAGATTTAGATTAGAATTTTAGATTTTTTTAATGATTTCAAAGACTGATAAATTGAGCGTGTCAACGAATATTTTGAAGATAGATCATATCATGTGAAATGCTGTTAAACACATTTGCATTTCCTATTTATTTTAGAGTTTGATAATTTGATGTCTGCAAATAAAATCCCACTTCACACTTACTTCTTGAAGACTCGAATTGTTTTAATTTGACTCATAGATTGAGCAATGCATGATAAATAAATACGCTTTAGTATTACAAAATACAAAATGTCACCAACACCACTTTGTCATACTTCCTAAAAACAGTGCATGATATTTAATATGATAATATCATTTTTCAATTTGGAACGTTTTCATACACATCGAATTTGTTTTGTTGATCTACAGCGTAGAAACGGATAGATCATCGTTGGGACTCGGGGCAGTCGGAGATTAAAAGTCGAGGGCGAATTTGGAGGGCCGAGCTACGTGAGCAACTTGAGTGCACTTGTTTAACAAACAGCGCACTTTCTGTCTCCCGGTGCGAAAGAAAACGTTCTCGAAAGAAATTGCAAATTGTTCTTTAGATTTCGTGGAAATTTACATTTTTGTCCAGAACATAAGCTAGTTTCAGCCGATTTTGAGATGGCTGCTATTATGGAGCCAGCAGTCGCTGTGGTAAGTCACTAACAATACTTACAGATAAGTAGAATGACTTAATTGTGCAGTGGACGTACATGTTTTTGTGTATTGTATTTTATATACGAATAGTAATATGCAGTGTATGTCTATAAAACGTATCATACTTTACTTTACTTTACTTTGATGTAGATGGACTTAGAATCAAAATCGATGCTTAGCACGGACGAAGAGGAAAAAATCGATGAAACTAGTATTGCTAGTAATGAGGATACTGAAAATAATTCTGTCGCTAGCAGTGCAGAGGAGAAGTCGGTTATTGAGGATGATTCTGCAGTCGATGCAAAAAGTGATAAGGATGAAGTAACTGAAAGTTCGGAGGAAGCAAAAGTGGAGGACGACAAATGTGTCGAGGAAGCGGAGGTCAAGATACGTAAGAATCGAGGCCCGAGAAAGGTAGCTAAACCTGAGACGCCGCCCAGTAATGGACACTCGACGGGACGGGAGAGAAAGAAGGTGGAACGTTTCTCGGTTCCTGCCAATCCTGTGAAGAAGGAGAAGAATCTTGCCGTAGACAAACCAGGAAAGGGACAGAAACTTGGGGATATTCCATTCATTGCGGATATGCTAAACGTAAGTCATTGCTTTTAGACCATGTTTACTGTTTACTGAAGTTTATTAAAATGTCGCAAATCATCAAAAAAATCTGCTTTTCAGATCAAGACATGCTAAATTTAATGTTCTATTGCATGTTTTGTAAACATATTTAAGTGCATACCAATTTAAAATTGGAATACTCATTTCTTTTCAGAAAACGACTCAAAAAAATTTACTCTATCTTCATCAAGCTTGCTTCGGAGGACGCGCTAAACAGCGAGAAATCAAGAGACAGCTCCGCATTTTCTCTGGTTTCCCATTTGATTCAGATTCTAAGGAATTCCAGATAAGACGAGCCACTATTTCAAAGTATGTATGAAAGAATAATAATCTCATATTACTCTCGCACATACAGTCAATCGTATATTTCTTGGGATTGACGGTCAGTTTGGCGAAAGCCAGTTTGGCGAAAAAAAAATTTTCGCCAATGTGGTAAAAAATTGTCATGAAAGTACTAACTGGCGAAATTATTGTCATATTTGGCGAACATTGAAAACTCGTAAAAGTACATTTGGCGAAATTTAAATTTCGCATTTATTTATGTCAAATCGCTCAAAATTACAACTAAATCATATATATATAAGATAAGATTAAATTAAGACTTGTAGTCTGGAGTGCTTCTCACTAGCTTCGATAACAATTAACAGATTTTTCATAACTCGCCCGTTTAATGATGGAAGGACTACATGCATTTCTCTGGGTGCAGTATTAGTAATTGGAACTAATGCCCTCTTTTCTTGTAATACCCTAGTACCGATAATATTAAGATTCTTATCGTTTTATCCACATAATGTCTTCATGAGTTACGATTTTCACAAAATCCTCGCTTTCGCCAAATGCGACATTATTTTCGCCAAAAGGTACTTTAAATAAAATAAAACTAAGGTACGGTGAAATGCATGAAATTTATTTTTCGCCTAATGGGATTATTTTTTTGGCGAAAGTTTTTCGCCAAACTGACCGACTACCATTTCTTGGAATGTTTATGATCTTGGGATATTTGGTTTTGTTTCCAGGTGGGAAACAAAGACATTCAAGCTCATGTTCTCAGTGCTCGGACTAAAGAATGAGCATACTAAAGAGAATTTTGTGACAAAGCTGATGGAGTTTTGTTTGAATCCGGAGGATAGTAGGCAAGTACCTCACACTCCCAAGAAATCAAAGGCCAAAAAATCTGGAAATAAAAGCAAGTCAAAGAAGTCTGTATCAAGAAAGAAGGAATCAACAGGTAAATCCAAGAAGCGCAAACATGATTCAGATAATTCAGATGCTGAAAATGAAGATGAAGAAAAGTTGGATTCTGCTGGTGGGAGTGATAGTGATGATGCTGGTAGCGAACCAAAAGCAAAGCGCTCAAAACAAGCCTCATCAAAGAAAATTACCAAACAAAATGAATCAGAAGAAGAAGACGATAAAAATGACGAGAGTCTTAGCGAAAGCGAACCTGAAGTTGATAGTGAAGATGAGAAGAAAAATAAGCCGAAAAAGAAACCTGTTATCGCGAAAAAGGGTTCTGCAAGTTCAAAGAGGAAGGCTCCAGTTCAAAGAAAACCTAAAAAGATTGCAAAGAAACCGAAGTCCGACTCTGAGTCTGACGAACAATCTGATGCAGAAAGTAGTGGTAACTACGATATCACCACCATTTCAAATGTATATTTTGCATATGTGATACTTCTATAGAATTAAGTTACCAAATTGACTTAATGCATTTTTGTTTGTACTGATTTTAGCATGATTTGAAAAAGCTAGTTCAAGGAATAGTAAAGAAGGCGGATCTGAGCACATTTTCCATGAAAATGGTAATGGGACAAGTCAAAGAAATCTTTAAAGTGGAACAACTGGATTCCGAGAAAAAACTATTCATCAGGTCGATGGTCGATGAGGTACATATTTTGTTCTTTATTAATTTGATAATTTACACTTGTTGAAATACATTTTTGCATTGATGAACATTTTTTACAGATCTTAGGCAAGCGCAAGGGCGACTAAGAAGTATGGATATAACACAAATACAAAAGAACGAGACCTGACATCCATAAAGTTTAATAATATATTTTAATATCCTTAATGGTTATAAGTTTTCTATATTTCACATTAATTGTTAGTTGGTTAAATTTAAATTTGGCTTTAAAGGCATTGACATCTCCAGAGTAAACTTTTCATGAATTGTCTGATACTTTGGTTGAGTATAACTAGAAATTGACATTTATGCCAAAGTTTCCAAATCTTTTAGAAAATTACTTGGTGTCAGTATCTCAGTAGAGCCTAAGAAAAAAGTAATTGTTATTGTTTAATGTGTGCAATAATAAGCATAGTATACACTACTACCTGGTATTCTTACTATATTTATTTATTGTTATTGTTATTTTTCTTATTATTTTTCATATTGAATGCATTAACGAATAATAAAGGATGAAAGGTACTCACCGATTACAACTTCCCATTCTGATTGCGACTTGTTTATCTGTATAATTAAGATTCGGATTAAATTATTTCTCGTCCGTTGGCATTACTTATTATTAGTTTTTCTTTAAATGTGTATACCTCATAAACAGATCTAATTTCCGAAAGTGAAATGCCTCCGACAACAAAAATTATGAGCCGTGGTCCACTTCGTGTCTGTTGCCCACTTTTTGGATACCATTGTTGAACATATCTTGTACTGTGCACATAAGTATTTACATATAAATACAAATATTCATATTTACATACACAACAAATATATCTGTAAAGTGTCAATTGTATAAATTTTGTTTAAAATTAAATAAACAAATTTTCAAACCTTGCAGGAATTTTGTATCCCGTGTCAGCATTTCTGTTAAACTGGTATGGAAAACTTTTCTTGTCTAAGCGATCTTCAAGCACGAACTCGGCAAGATCCTTCAGAACAGGTGTCCATCTCGATGTCGTATAAAAACACTTTCCAGGTTCATCTCTATTCTTTCTTTCAACATTGTGCGTTTCTTTCCGTGAATCCTACGATCAGAGTAACGGATTTTGACAAATCTTAGGAAAGTTTTTTTTATAGTGGTTATGTAAGGTTACCCCTATGACCACAACGTTAGGTCCAAGAAGGGCCAAGTTTTCAATCATTTCTCGAAATGCGGGATTTAACATTGCGTGAGTGAAGAGTTTTGTAAGGATTTCTTCAGTTACTCCATTTCTTGAAGGCAAAAAAAGGATATGCAAGATTTGTTGTGCCCTCTGTTTTGGTGCACTTACCTTGAAATGATGTAAAGAATGATAAGTCTCAGTTTTTCGTATTCTGTTACACTTTCACTGTCAACTTCCATTAACACGGGGAACATTTTATTCATAATTCCTTTAATTGGTTCTCCATTGGCATCCTCCCCTGTTGCGAGATCCTGAATAATGGGTATTTATACACACATACTTAAAGAAAACAGAAGTAGGTCAAATAAATATGAAAAAAATGAACGCATACTTGTTCAAGTAATAGTAGATTCTTGATTCTCTCATACACTTTCATGCAGTCACTCGCCATGCTAATTTGCGTGGCAAACATTGTCATTTCCTTTTGGTATTGAGGTAACTTCTTGACCATCATTTGCAAATCCCTTAAACCAACTTGCTGACCGTCGGGTGTTTCAATGTTTTTTGATTTTGCAAAGTCCTGATAATCGTCAGATACTTTTCTGCAAAGGAGATACAATCGAAATTAATATTACTATCAAAAGGAGTCAGTCATAAGTATCTGTGATTTACTTGCTGACTTCTGCAATGTGCAAATGCTTGAGTTCTTTCCATGACTCGTCATCTTCATCCAAGAAAACATTCTTTACCTCTCCAGTGCTGGACTTCAACTGGTATGCTCCATTTTTAAGTGGAAGTAAATCGTGGATCATTGCTTCAAAAGATAATTCATGCAAAACTGTGGAGACAATATCGAACCCTCGATCCAAAATCAGAAGCTGTGATCGGGATTTCTCTGTCCCTGCCCCCATTGTAGGATCCAATTTTTTATATTCTTGAAGCTTCTGATCAATCGTACGAGCCAAGTCGGAATTTTTTATAAATGCTGACCTGAACAAAAATCGTGTTTGAAGTTTGAACACTATATACAATCTCATCGTAAAGAAATACCGGTATCGTATTGAGGGATTTTCACCCAAACAGGCACATAAGGTTGCGATTTGAGTGGCCATAATGTCAATGTTGAGCGTAACTTCGGTTAAATCTTCCAGGGAATTGTAATAGAGACGGGTGACCCGGGGTCGATTTTCCAACAAAAATACCTGTTAGTATTTAGTTAAGAATGGGATTGCACAATTAGAACAACCTCACATAATCTATTCCGTTCCGATAATTACTTACATGACTCTCGTATGGAATGAAAGACATGTTGATCTCTTTGAAGGTTTTTACTCTGCTTATGTTAAGGACGTCAGCAAACTTTTCGATTATACTCATTGGACATACTAAAGTATTACGAATTAAAATGCGTTACAAATTATTATAATTTATTCGTGTATGCATATTTTACAACTTTACATTCAATAAAGAACACATGGAACGCCTTGTAGATGTTGGGACTAGAAGAAATAAAAGATACCTTGCAGAACTCAAAGTTTTCGATTATACAAATAGTCACGTAATCTCAAGAACAATTTTTATTAATCTTAGTCAGGGCTGATAGAATCGTTATAGATATGCTAGAGCCAAAACGGCTGAACCGATTAAGTTCAAATTTTGCATACATTATTTTAGGAGTTAATTTCGATGATGAGCAAAATTGGTCAAGTGGGGGTCATGTAGATAAGTGGGTGGGATATTGTGCATCCAAATTTTATGATACACATTTAACCACATAATTAGCTAATTATAATGATTCAGATTTTGAGACTGTTCTGACATCATTTATACCAATCCTGACTTACTTCGAGTTGAGGTCGGCAAGCAGAGCATCTACAGAGTTAGCATCAGTGGGTTTCAGGATATAAATGGCTTCCAAGAATGGTAACGGTTCTCGTTTTTTATGTAAATCTTCGACCAAGGTGACCCCTTCTGCCGTAATGTCATGCATTCCACAACAATGGGACACAATCTTGCTTGAAAAATGATCCAAGATCAAAACTCTCCAATAAATTTCATCTGTCTTTCTTTCCACAATTGTACTCCGAATGACATCATTGATAATCACTTTTGGGATAAGATGCAACTCGGTCATTTTTAGTAAATTTTTCATACAGAAAATATGATGTAATCTTAACTTTTTTTAGTACCACAATATAGACAAACTTACTTTGCTTCGAAATTCTCTTCAACAACCCCATGTCTGGTGTACTGCCCTTCCGGCTATGTATTCTTTTTGCGTTTGAACCCTACAACAATGGCATGAAAAATATTTTCAATAAATAAATTCACTTGGAACACTCAAAACTTATTACGCGTTTTATGGATTCAAATATACCGAGGTTGGCAAATAGTGAGGAAATGCTTTGTATTTATTTGTGTATCAATTCATAACATACTAATTCTCAAAAAAAGAGTGATACCCATTTCCTTCATGGGGAAGTTGAAATTAAAACCACAAACACAATAATTAACATGACAATTAGATGGATGTGGGAGGAATATTGAGTATGTCATACCCCAATAGGTTGGATTTACATATTTGCATATTCACAAACCTTCCTTTTCGTGTCCAAATATTTCTGACAAGCTTCAACGACATGTTTTGGGACTGACCACATTGCATTGGTTGTTGGTTAACACGATGATTCATTCATCTAAAGCAGTATCATATCTTATTTTATTTATTTAAATATTAATGCTATTTGTCAAATAAATAATTAATGTCCCTCTCGTATGTTTTGTACCTCTTTTGTTATTTTCTTGTCTGTTTACCTACACCTCCAATGTTGGTTGATTATCACTAAGGTAGATTATCAGAACTTTGTAATCTTCTTATCTACAATGCAGATTCTACATTGCGTTCTATTCTTATGTCAAAAGAAATCCCATGGACAGATAGAACGAAGAACCTGGAAATTGAAATTTTGAACTCCAACTGCCGTCATAATGCCATGTTGTACAACCTCATCCCCTGAAACTACTCGCATTAAGTGGCAAATTAAATAAAATTGCCAATTTGAAAGTGCGTCATACTAATTATTTAAGGAATTATATAGTAAATAGCTCATGAATAATAAATCACAACAATTATAATTAGCATAACGTGTGTGGAGGTAAGATGAGACAGTCTCATTGTGTCTCAACCTGCCTCACCAATGCAGAGGCTCAATGAGGAGTGGAGGCCTCTGTGAGATGGAGGTAAGGCTGCTAAATTCATAATCGGCATGGGAAGAGCTCTTTGGCTCACTTTTCGTTCATAACGAAATCTGCAGACTTTGTGTACCCTCGTGCTCTCCACAATTTTCTAAAAACTTATCTGGTTCCGGTTCAGCGCTGGTCCAAGGATTATCTCGACCAAACCAGAAATGGTAAGTGTATAGTGTGCATTATTTATGTAATTGTATTTTATGTATTCAGTTAGTTTTGTGCGAATTTGTCGAGGTCGATGAAATGTCAATGAAAAATCAGACTCCATCATTTAATATTTGTGTTTTACTTGAACTATTTGCAGGCTACCAATTACACGAAAGATCCATCTAAACCACAAGCAGAGGAGGCTGTGATTCACCGAATCCGGATTACCCTCACCTCCAGAAATGTCAAGTCACTTGAGAAAGGTGGGTGGAGTCATGGGGGAAACAGTTATTTTATTCTTGATGCATTCTGAAATTGAGATTCTCAATGAGAATTTCTCATCAGTTCCCCACATGCAGTCAGTTTTCTTAATATCAATATGTCTTGTGCATTTCAGTGTGCTACGACTTGGTGAAGGGGGCGAAAGAGAAAACTTTGAAGGTGAAAGGGCCCATCCGAATGCCCACAAAGGTTTTGAGGATTACGACCCGTAAAACTCCTTGTGGTGAAGGTTCCAAAACTTGGGACAGGTAATTAATGAATAAATCACTTGTTTTAGTTTGCAAAATTCAGATTTTAACGATTTAACGACCAACAGGTTCCAAATGAGGATCCACAAGCGTGTGATCGATCTCCACAGCCCCTCCGAAGTAGTTAAAGAAATTGTGAGAAACTGTTTAATAATTGTATTGTATTATCCAATGCAATGAGAGGCGTTCTAATTGCCCAATATGTTTTTTCCTACAGACATCTGTCAGCTTGGAGCCTGGTGTAGAAGCCGAAGTTACTGTTGCAGATTCATAAATATAAAATGATTATTTTGTTTTATACTAATGAAACTGTAAAAAGATGATTTCAGAATAAACGCTGAAAAAGAATTTAAAAACTTCTGTATGATAGACGACGTTGATTTGTATGTAACGCGTTGAACATTCTGTTATATTTATTTATGTACATCAAATTATACAAAACAATTCATATTTTATTTTTTAGTCATGCATTCTTTGTTTTTTTGTCTGCACAAGCGAATGAATTGACTGGAATCTTAATCTATTATAATCTAGCCTCTGAATATTACTACATAGCTAAATTAGTTATGAAAAGATTAATTGTGACAGCATACATAAAACTTAAATCCACAATACATAATATATTTTTCTTGCCAAATTATCATTATTTAAAATACTGCATCGTATATATCATCATCTCTATTGGACGGATTGGACGAAGAAAACGTTCCGGACAGCGTTCCAGAAAACGTTCCGTCTGAACCACCCCCACCCTTCATGAGACTGCTCATATTCGACAGCTGCTGCCGGTGATGGTGGTGGAAATTAAGGCCCATTTGGTGTATCGGATTAAGACTGAGTTTCATCGTAAGTGCGTCCGCTATCTCAGAGTAAATATTTTCCTCTTCTCCGACGTCGTCCGCCACGGTGCCGTACGGAACGTCCGGACTGCCCTTCCCCCCGCTCGACGAGTTCCCACTGGACGAGCCGCTCCCACACGGCGGAATGGGACTCAGACTCAGGCTGCAGTTCCCATAGCTCAAGTTTCCCAAAGAGCTGCACCCACTGCTGCTGTTCGTGCCCCCTCCTCCCACTCCGCCATTGCAGTGCAGGCTGAGAACGTGACGCTGGCTTCTCGAAAACAAGAGGTTTTTGTGCTCTTGATTGCTGTGACTAATAATGAGTGGATTTTTATTGTTGGACAAAACATCAGGGACGGATTGATTATAGCCGTGAAGGAGAAGTTTGTTGGAGGCGTTGTTATTATTCGTATGATTTTGCTGGCTGATGTGAAGCGAATGAGCATTTCTGGTCCCCTCTACATGTTTTTGTACATTTTCTTGTAACGCTAATGACATTGGTGGAGGATGGATTTCCTTGCAGTGGAAATATTCTGATGATTTCTCCCTCTTATTCAACATGCACTCTCCTACTCTGGACATTTGTTGGCGAAGAGGCGGATGTTTGCTCTTGTTTTTCCTACCAGCCATAAAATTGAAAAGTGTTGACAACTTTTTTGTCTCCTCTTCCTGGTCTTCATCCAGTGATATGGACACGCTTTGAGTCTCCACGTTGAAAGATTTTGTACGCCGTAGGTCTTTGGTGGATCCAAACGGGGCAGATGAGGGTCTGAAGAGAAGGGATAGTTTCGACGGTGTGGATGATGACGATGGCGTTTTTGCTCGTAGTCGTAACGATTTATTCTTTTCCTTGACTGAGAGGAGATAAGCACCGGAGACAGTTCCTCCTTTCCCAGCCTTACTCCCAAACTGATAGTTGCGAACTTGTCGTCTCCAATTGTCGGCTTCTCCTCTGCAGAATTGGAAGGCAGTCTGGTACCCAGTGGACTGGATGAATAAATCTTCACTTGTCATTTGAGACAGGAAGAGATCGCAGTCTAAGTCTATTTCAAACAGGAGGGGTTTGTCGCGCATCAGTGTGCAGGCTGAAAAGAAAGTGATAGTTATAAAGATTGGTTACATGTTTGAAATTGCATAAGATATTTATTCTATGGACAATTAATGAATTCTTTAAGGTAAATAAATTGGGGTCTCAGACTTACCCAGCACGACTTCTTCCGTATCGACTCGCTCCAACTGAAGTGTCCCTACAAGCATAAAAACGAGTTTTATAAGTAATTTTTCATGATTATCCACTGATTATTGTATGACTAGATTTTACAATACGTAGTAAGCAAATATGTATGCACATACGAACCTGTAAAGTCAGGAATATTTGGAGGCAAAGCCCCATAAACCATTTTTATCCGAAGTGGGAGTCTGTGAATTTTTGCGATGGCGGAAAGTGGGTAAATATGTTGGGGGTTGCGTCCCCCGCGTGGAGCTATCGGGTAAAACACTCCTGTGGCAGAAAATGGGATGAACAGCACCTGAAATCATAAACATACCGTTTTTGTGAAGGACAAAAGCATTGGACGATAATTAATTAACAATTTGACACCACCTTTCTTCATATCGTGACCTAATTATTTACAGTGCATTTTACTTTGAGATATTGCATTAATATTTTTTGATTAAAGTCGGCATCATGAGTCAGACGAAATAATAAAGTAAAAGTCATCGCAATCTGTGCCCTTAAATTATAAGTTCTTAAAAGCACTGATCAACAGAAATTTAGTTCTGTTGATCAGTCAATGAGTTAAAAGTTTAAATCAGTAATAATCAATTTCTCATTCATTCATATTGTATCGTGTTGGTACGTAGTATGAATTTCAGTCGAAATACACTTAAGCGTGTGCCCCACCTGAAATACTATAATGAAGTTCATTAAATGAACAGACTTGCACCGTCATAATTGTTTCAACTATTTAATTCTCGTAACCTTGAATTTTCAATTAAAATATTACACTTTCAAGTCTAACGTCAAAGTTTTGGCAATTCCAATATTGAGTTTCAAATATTACCAGTACCACAAAGTTGTTTCTTTTTATGTTCATAGACATCCGTATACGCATACATAATGTTTATAAATACTTTTAACGAAATATGTACACAAGTACGAGTCATAATTTAGTATACATCTGTCATTTCAAAAAAAGTGAAGTCTGCTAATAATTGGCTGAAAACCGGATTTAACCAAAAAGGGTTGAGTTGGATGGAATATTTTGCAGACAAAGTTCATTCCTAGGATTAGTTTTCTGCAAAAGTGTAAAAGTCCCAAACAAGGGAGGGTTGCGAAATTCACTTTTAGGGTGCGACGGAGCAAATCTCGTGACTGGAATCATGATGAGACGACTAGACAAAGCCGTTTTACGATTTTACTTTCCTGTTTGGTCTAATAGTTCAAAGAACACAATGACATCGAGCTGTGTGATTTTAAACAAAATTAAGTGCCCAAGTAGGAATTATAAATACACAGAATAATTAGCAAGAATAAAAGCTCTAACTCTATTGTTTTACACATTATTTGTACTATTGCCTCCCAGTAAAGCCATGCCATGCACAAACCAACTCGTTTTCCATTAATTTGCACCTAAGGATTTTTAATCTAAACTAAAACATCTATCATCAATCAGTTGATGGACGTATACATATACGCCATAATAACACAGATATTCTTCAGAAATTTGAGAAAAACTCTGCAGGTCTCATTATGAACTCGTCACGCTTTCAATCAACTCACAATGGACGCGAGTCCATACAGATAGCACGGTGGGAATGTTTTTGAATTGCCAAAATATAAAGAAATTCAACTTCGGTTTCATCGCATGATTATCCGTTAGCTCGATTTGAATGTGAGTCGCACGATCTTGTGAACTCTTTTGTGACGCGTCCATACTTCCATTAATTTATTATTCCTCACAATTGAAATAGGAAGTGCGGGTACACACAATAAGGTGGATCTCAAACAACAACGGCATCAAATTACTATATGTTTCACCCATCAACAAAATAAAGGAAATTAGGAAATGTTTATCATGACCAAACAGTGAAAGCCGGCAATAATAACAACTGTGCGGCATTGTTTATGTAGCAGTATTCATACCCTCTCCACAGGCAGTTTACAGGGCATGTATGCATGTTTTCGTTAGAGTTTTAATTAAAATTTGCCTGATCTCCTTTATTGAAAAAAAGATTTAAAATGAACATCCGGAACCATACATATTCTTATTGATAAAAGTGGAAGGCCGAAAAAAAATGTTTAATTTATTGACCGAAGAATTTATTAGTTTTAATCAAATTAAACATATGTATACCCAAACCCAAAAAACAGCCTTCAAACATTCGACAAAAAACATATTTTCATGTGCAATGAAAGATAAGCAGATCTGATCTTATCGCCAGCATGACACACGACGATTTTATCAGGTTTTAAGTGGTGAATGCCGTAAGTATTACCAGCATTGCACATTAATTGCTTGACATTGCAGGAAGATCACAAAGTTATTATAATTTTCAATTGCAAGCAGACAGGAAAGATTTTCATAAAATTTTCCAATGGCTAAAATTGACCTTCGCCTTGTAATAATTATGTTTTCTCCAATATTGTTCTTCCTGGTGGCAGCAACAACGGCATGGACTCAACAAGGTGATACAAACAAATACGGCTATGAAGTATACATATTTTCAAAAAAAGTAAAATATTGTCCTTCAAATTAGACCCAAGTTTGAAATTTCCTTGGGATGAATGCGTTGCAATGGATCAAATCGTTGGAGAAAAGTGTGATATCCGGTAGGTGGTTGAAATACTGTGAGTAATGATAATACGAATAATAATAATAAATACCACCCTGACAATTTATTCATTTTACAAAATTCGGACCTTCACATTTAGCTTTTCCAGGTCCTGGCGCTCTTCAGCAGTGATGGCGACGTGAGACGTGACGCCCCGTCATAGCCACAAAATATAACAGTTTTTTCTCCTCTGACCTCTCTATCCACTCATTGACAATTTTCTACAAGGTACACAACACAAAATAATTAATTCATTCCAATATCCGAATTTATGCCAGGTCCGGGTATTAATGATTTAGTACGCTTACCCAATCTTCCGTAGGAAACTTGTCATTAAAACTCTCACCGTCGCCTTCGTTTTTTTGAAACTTTGATCTTATTTATCAAATTAATTTGTGTGAGAGAGAAAGAAACTTTTGGACGTACTGACTCAGACGAGAATTTAGCGGGGTGGTGGTGGTGGATGAAAATCGTCTCATCTCGCCTCATATTTAACTCTTTCCCTCTCTCTCACTTCAACCCCGTTATTTGTCTCTGAACGTTCGATTCTCGTTTGCATGCAGTCAAACAAACAAGCATGAAATGACAGATGAAGAGTGAGTTTCTCATAATTTCGATCTGTCAACCAAATTTTCAAAAACTGTCTCGTGCGAAATATTTGCTACAAAAATACATTAATATTTACATAAATAAAGTTCTAGTGAGGAAGGTGATTAGTTGAAGAGTTCATAAGGTGGTGGTTTTTGGTTTTACAAGATGAGGTAAGAACTTTTAATTTAGTTTGACAATTCCCAGGACCTGGCTACAAATAATATTATTATTTAAGATGAATCTTAATTCATTGAGGTTGGTTTTCTATGTCTAAATTGTTTTTATTTTTCCAGTGCGTTATCATGCGATCATTGTGGGGCGCTGTTCGCATTTTCCCAAAGTTTGAAAAGGCATGAACGAAACCGTATTTCCAGAGGAGGGACTTGCCCCACTCCTAGAAGGTAACAAGTTTTGTGGGTCATGTATGTTAGCATAACATACAGCTTAACATTTAGTAACCCTCCTCTCAAAATATATACAGAAAAGATAATGAAGACGGAAGATATTCCTGCGCGATGGAGGGATGCGGACAGGACTTTGAGACTGCTGACAAGAGGAACAAGCATGAGAGGAAAGATCATCGTGCAACAAATGAAAAGTATGTTTTTAATTTTTACTCATCCAGGTCCTGGCTATGAATGAATATATGTTAATGATAAACTAATAATTTATGGTGTTATTTGTATTTGTAGCGAAGAAGCAAGTAGCTTATACACATTTCAATGTGAAGTTTGTGATGCCTATTTGGGGAATGAGAGGTCGTTGGGTAGACATATGGATTCTCATAAAAACCCAGATTTCGGCGGGTATTCGAAGAGAATGTAGGTGTACAACATAATGCATAGTTATATGACGTTTTGACCAGGTCCTGGGATTTATCATATTTGTATTTATTAAGTTTTGGTGAGAACAGTGAGGGCGGAGTGACTCACAATTGCAGATCTTGCCCATTAAAATTTAATTCTGAGTCAACTTTAACAGTCCATCAGTATGTATTTCATCGACCAGTTGAGATGATGCGCGAATTGACGTAAGTTTTTTGCTCGTTATAATTCATCCTTATCCATTAGATTTATCGTTTGTGTATAATTTCTCGTTTTACAGCGATCAGTTATTGAAGCTCAAGAGTCCACTTATTCCAGCCCATGGCTTTACTCCCCGTGCCCTTCCTCCCAGTAACCTGGCTAAAGCTGCAGAAGAGGAGAACTGGATGTTCAGATGGATCATGGGTTTCATGAACTTCAAGCTCAAAATACTCGATCGACGTCTATACTCCGTCTACCTAGTTGGGGTTCTCGGTCCCAAGTATAAAGGGGGAGAGGACATCAGATCCTTCATTAAGAAGAATCCTGACCAGCTTTCGCTGTACATTGGACGAACGAGCTGCCAACTCCTGATTGACAGCCACCATTTCCAAATGCTGACTCCCCTCTCTGAACCAGCCTGTCGAGGACAAACTATTATTCTTCTAAACACCACTCAGTTCCAGGGAGACTGGCGGCGGAAGACGGGAAAGATCAGGAGACTTGAAGCCAGAATGATTGTATGTACATTTTTATTGGGCCAACCATGACATTATTTTAATTAAACTCTCTCTCTCTCTGTTCACAGGAGGTGGCATTGACTGACAAGGAGTATCAGCCAGTTCCTGGGGTACCACAATACAAGATCCTCAACTCCAACCGAGAGACGTTTCAGCTGGCCAATTTGGATGAAAAATTGTGTATGGCCGAACACTATAGGGTGCGGATGTCGGGAATTGGGGCAAATTCTGGGGACAAAATGTGACACTAAATACTATCGGTGCAAATTAGTAAATGACGACTGGGCAACCGATGAATTTGCGTGTCCACCTGGGAGCCTTTACGATCCAGACACTACAACATGTCGAACCCCTGCAGACATTGGATGTTAGACTCGTCTGAAATTCACTAATTCGTCGAATTAGTGAAACTCAAAAGTTACTAATGTGTCATATGTATACCCAATATTACGAACAATAACTATACGCAAATGTACATATGTATGTACACGAGGGTATGACAATCATCAATCAAGAAAGTTAATAAATCTTTCCATTATTCTATTGTAATTTCAAAAATTTCAATTTTTTATACGACTTCACTTTCTTTTTCATAGATTTCCCAACTGCATTTTAGTCATGCGTCATTAGCGAATATTGACAGTCTCTAATATTGACACTCTGTGGTCACATGTCACATTAATTTATTCCACCAGCTCTTAATTTCACTTAAACTCATAATATCAACTTATTATTAACCGTGTCATAAGCATGTACGCGTATCAGTTTTATTCAGTTGTGGTATGCAAGGAAGGGTCTGCTTTTCAGAACGATTTCTAAGTGTCACTCACCTGGCATTCAAATCCTAATCCTAAATCGACGTAATTATGCACAAAAGCGGATTACGTATGTACATTCATTGAAAATGGACACTTGAGTTGCGAAACCTATTCACTTCACTTGAGGTGAAAATTAACGTCTGTGCTCCCAATTTACACTATAACGCCCGTCTCTGCATGTGCATATGCATGTATATCTGAAGTATTATTAAGGGCAGTATACGCCCGATACAAAGACTTTGTTTCTGCACTCTTCCTACACCACAAACCAGGGTGAATTTTTGACCTTGATTAAAGTCTTACTTTGCATTAATTGACAGCAAACTAAATTTTACATAATACTGTCAATTTAATATTTAAAAAAATTATGTGTACGTCATAACTAACCAGCCAACAACACACATTATGAATCAAGCAATATTAAACATGGTCATTTAGCAGAAATAAACAAGTCAAAAATGGAAATGTTAATATTTTATTTGGTTAAAAAATCTTTTAAGACCTATACCATGACTGCAAGAATGAATATTATTCTTTTTCTGCAACTTAAAATTGCTGAGTTTGTGGAACAGCGTTTTTATCGACGATTTTTTTTCCTCAGGTAACATAGCTTATATTAAATGGAACAATTCTAATTTAAGTTTACAATGCGGTTGGAATAGTGAAATAGAAATATCCCGTAAACTTCCGTTGCAAGAATAATACGTGCTGAAATGAGGGCACACATTTTTATGCCATAACAAGTATTGTTATTAGTATTCTTCTGGCTTCTGTTCTATACTGTCATATCATTTGGCTGAACCACTTGGCCAATTAGCAAATAAAGTCAACCATCATACACACGACTTTTACCAGATATGGGACCCACCAAATTTTTGTTCTGAATGTGCCCACCAGCTTCATGAAAGGATTTACTATCAGCGTCAATTTTGTCACTTATGGAATTTCGTAATCTTCTTAGTAAAAGCCAAATAAAAGATGAACTGTCTGACAAGGTAAAAAAAAGTGCACTTGTTTTCCTATGTCGAGTTCTGCTTCAGTTGACGGTATTTATTACGGTTGTCACATTTTCTACATTACGACGATCCCTATGCTATGCTAGTTGGTTACCCATTACCAATAATTGTGAAGCTGTTTTCCTGGTCGTGACTGCCATTTACCTGCTATCCAATTTTTGTCCTTTCAATTCAAATCAACATCATTTACTGAACATGATGATCAAATAGCCGGGTCAGGCAGAGGACTCGAGATCATTTATATTTGAAAAAAATGAGGTGACTGGTGAAATATGGATAATGAGAGCAAAATTGAATTTAGAGCACACAAAGGGAGGATTTATTAAATAGGTACTTTGAGTGCCGGTGTAAAAACGGATCATGAAAGGTTCATTACTGATTGTTCCAAAAATGTGGATTTGAAGCTTACCGTTATTTCTAAAGGCAAAGGTCAATTACTGTTTCCCGAGATCTTTTGCCATGAAATGAATTAATAAAAGCTTCAACCACAACATGGTGCATATGTACCTATAGACGTGTAAAGATATTGTGGGGAGCATTTATGTTGTTGATCGACATGATTGTTTTGGTGGTTAAATTTCCTTTGTTAAATAAAATCGCTGTTGAAAATTTCTAAATTGCATTGATCGCAGGTTATCAATCAATAAGAAAGAGCGTTTTTATCCTCTTGTGCCAATACTGTTCCGATGCCGAATTGAACGTACGCATGAACTGCGAAGATAGGAATCTATATGATTTATTTCTCACTTCGGAAGAACTTTGTATCCTATTGTTCACAATTCCAGTTCAATTACGAGTGAGACGAGGAGTTGGGATGCAGGTGAGTGAGGTGTTCACAAGAAGCCGTCAAGGCCGTGACCAAGATTAGCATCAAGATCAGGATCAATGATGACTGTTTGATCGAATTGCCATTAAGGTTAACACAAATTATTGCTACTGACGTAGTGACGTGGCAAAGCTAAGCGTACGATAGTGAGGGGGGACAGCCAAATTGTTTGGTATTGTTGCGTACATTACATGTGCATTCTGGGATCTCTTACAATAAAACGCCATGTTCATGCGTAAGTTTGTAAAGGCCGTGACCTACGGCTACCGTGATTGGTTTGTTAGCTCCAATCATGAATTACGCAACTAATATTTTATGTCTAGTTTCCACCGGTGGGACTCAACGGGAACTTTGGAATAAAGTCCCTGGCGACTGTTTCCACAATTTTGTCTGTATATGTGGGTCTCAAAAGAATGGAAAACAAAAAGTTTGAATGACCACACCCCTGCCCTGAGGAGAAGACGGGGACGGAAGTCCCGGGATCCATTTGCGTAAAATTTGCGACCCTGTAGCTCCAATTCAGATTTATCGCGTATTTACTCCCGAATTACAGGCTTCTCAACTAGTCGATAAGTAATAGTCAGTAGTAAGTGGTTATTACCTATTGTGGTCACACTTATTACTAATACATACTAAATTCTTGTGTCATTCCATTTTAAAATTGTAGTCTCGTCTCGTTAAAGTAGATGATTTGTCAGTTTTTAATGTCGTCATTACCCAAAGTGCTAACTTGGCAGATTTTACTACGGATGTGACAGCATACCCAAAGGCGTTATCTCGAGATTACGAACACATGTTCTTCCTCCTCCTTGCATAGACTAACTTCCAAATCAATTTTTTAAGCTAAATCGAAAAAAACGAGTAAAGCATTCTCTCGGCCTCATTAAACACACACCAATGAAATTATATTGCTTCGACAACACAGTTTTGTCTCAACGACCACTTAGCAAATCAATAAACAACACAACTGACTGGAAAATGGAGTCTAAATTAATCGAAATTCAGACACCTCCATTTATGATTCAAGGTAACACTCGTATGTTACGTATCAGAATAATCCATTCTGCAAACTAGAAAATTCAACTAAGTTTTGCCGTTGGTGATTTTTGTTGCGTCTCATATGGTTTGTACCTTAAATGGTTTACATAAATGGGATCACCTCATAAAACATTTGCAAATATTGAATATATTAACCTATTTTCGAGTAAGTCAGTAAAACAAATATTGAATTACTATTTTAAATTTGCACAATAAGTCAAACCAATTTGGTATTGCTACTGAATATGCAAATATGCATGTAATAGAGTAGCAAGTGTTTATGTACAGACGTAATTGATTTACGAGAAAACGCCTCACAGCATTTTTCCAACGTAGAATTAAAACTTACAGTTTACTTAAGATTTTCTGCAATGAAAACCATTATTAACAGGTCCAACAGACTAAAGTTTCCGATAAGATCATCTACCAACAAATTGCTAATTATGTAGGCTAAGGTTGCACATGTATGTATATAGACTTTGCAAATAATGTTGAAAAAAACTTTGCAAACAATCTCGGTCCTTTGGCCATGTTGTTGGAGAGAAATGGAGATTGCGAGATTAAACCTTAATGATGATTATCGGCTGCGGAAATCAACTAATTTAGCAATAAATCTATCAACCCTGCTCACCAACAACGATAACGGTAGGTGAATCAGTGCATAATTATTTATCAGAAACCTTAACTGTACAGAACATACACGTAGTGTTGCCTGAATGTACAGTAGCTTTTTGGTATGCTTATCCCATGAAATAAATTGTCAAATAAGACATAGCATGCATCCCTCTTATGTATATTTATCAGGTCTAATAATTACCATCACAAAAGACAATGCAACCCTTAGTTTTGTATGAAACTGACTTAATTGGGCAATTAGGAAGAGCAATAAATTAATTTGATGATAAACACGCATATATTATAGAGAAATGGCAAGGCTCACCTCATTGTCATGTAGACATTGGACATATTGAAATTGTTGTGGCTGCGTATTCTGCAAAGCAAGACTTCTGGCCATCAGCCGACCTGAAACATAAAATTCATTGTACATTTGTGTCCCGTAATGAATTAGCTAATGACGGATACCTCCAAATGCTCCCAAACTGCCAGTCAGGAAATTGGAGTTGGTCTTCTGTGGGTACGGATAGGAATTATTATTTGTACCCCCAAGGTCCGCCCAGACGCCCAACAGGCGTAGCACCGAACCAGCCCTTGTTGTGGATCTCAAGTAAACTGATTTGTTGTCCGGTTCTGCAGAAAAAATGGAATCAATGAAGGAACGGAAATTGTATGATATCCAATCCACCGAAACAATGGATTTTCTGCACATTCTGCACTACACATAAACTAAACATGCAATTCATGATGCCCCATAGTGAGCTGAAAAATATGCACATGCTGAACCACAACCATTCTCCATATTTCCGAATGTCTCATCCTAGTTTTCAATGATGAAGATATCAAATAAATTGTCTAGCAGGTAGGAGTGAGACCCATCAGAATCATATTATTATCTCCATATAATAGCTGACAAGACAACAGGAAGGATAGGTCATTGGCTTGAAAGGGTGGAAATACAACTGAGATTCAAAGCGTTTAGTTCCATCATCATCCAAGATGCACTTGAATTCTAATCTTGTGTTTCATTGAATTCTGTTCTATCTAATAAACGATAATGGATCTTGAAGTCTTTCTTTGATACAACTCATTATTATTATCGTTATTGTTACTATGATCATATAAATATGCAGCATAATCTCGTGCGGGAGTTCGTAATGGTTGTATGCACACCTTACGTTATTCCTTTGTAATCTTCCACGTTCCATATCTCGGGCAAATCTATTTTAATGTCATTACCGTAATTTTGCCTAAAAGATGATATAGGGAATGATGTCGATGTTATCATCTAGCTCTAATAATCGTTTCTGGTTTGATCCGTCTACTGGTGGGACTCGGAGGTTGACTTCCTTTGAAATAACTGAACAATGGTAACTTTTTTTTTGAAGTACATAGGCCAACTCCGAATAAGGATCAATTCATATACCTGCTCGCAGCAGGAATCGATCCAAAAAGAGTTATTATTATTATTTAGCATGCATATTGTAGTCTGACGTATCACGGTTAGAAATACACAATTAATGAAGTACACATAATGTAAAACTGTTCCAGGTCAGTCATCAGTGGTAATGAGGGAACTAAATATTGGCCAACGGTCAAAAATTTAGCAGAGATTAATACCTTGCAATTTGTCTGAGCATAAGAAATTACTCCAAAAAATATGACAGTTGCTGAAAAGCTTATGTACTTTGTGTGTTGTTTGTATTTATGCATTTATGCATACGCAACCACTCTGTTCCATTGCAAAGATTAAAAATACAGGCTCTAAGAATCTGCATCATTTTGCTATATAACTTTTCGCAATTCAGGTTCTTGAATTAGAATAACAACGATGCTCCAGTATTTGACCATCTGTCGTCGTATTAAGGTGACAGGACGATGATGATATTACTAGGTCGGCTGGCTGATCGGATACGGATAAAAAAATCGATCGAGTTCAACTCGTTAAGTGACTTTGTTACTTTCAAAACAACAGATGCTCAAAGTCATGAGGTTACAGACGACTGCATGTCGTTAATACTAATCCTAGTCTCACTACTGGCTGAAAAGGTCAGCAATCGCATGCCCATGAAACGAAAGAGACGATCTCTGAATGATCAGCAGTTGGCTGCATGACCTGCAATTTCAACTCTCGCAAATTTCGCTTGCATTTTAGAGGCATTCATTCTTCATCTCAAGATATGCACATGGCACGTTGTGTTATGATTGCTGTAACCCGCCTTCCGTTAATTGCGCTTGATTTCTGTTCTGTTGTGCTTTCGTTAGTGCTTTGTGTAATTGCAGATAAGGTGCATACATACATTGACACTTTGGAGATAAACGCTCAAAATTTGCAACATCCGGTGATTAATTAATTGCAGACTTACCATTGGAATCGGTTAACTTGTAAACTGGCACGTCAAACTTTGTCAGGAAAGCAGGAACTCTAGCCGCCGCAACTTGGCCCATAGACGTGTGTCTGTAATGAATTAAGTTGAATTTAGAATTTGTTGGTAAATAAGCAGAGAAAACTTATCACTAGTTTCTTACGTCATTGCACATTCCTTCCCCTCCTGATTCAGAAGCGTAAACCAACCTGAGAAATAAAATATAAACAAAATCATGAACACTGTACCACATTTAAATATTCCCATTAAATTAAAAAAATTGACGGTCAATTAAATTAGGCACGAGAAAACTTTACATAAAATCATAATTTTTGTAGAACGAGACAAATGGCGAAATATCAAATTAATAGTTTTTAGTGGAAGAGACGTGCAAAACTCTTGATGTGTAATTTTCAGTAGTAATTTCTATTCAACGCTAATGAATAATCAAAGTAAATGTAATTTCCAAAATGAACCAAAGAGATCCAGTACCCAACCAAGACTTGTAACATTTAAGGTATATACATTCATATGCATGGTTTTGGTAGCATATACACATGTATACACATACTCAGAAAATTCGTTGGATTTAATGACAATAACAATTTGTAAATAATGTCCAATGATGATATAGTATTCGACTCATTGTAGTTGATTCTCAACTTTTTTAGTGGATTTTAGTCTGCAAAGATCTGAGAGACATGGAAGGATGACAGGAAATAACGCTTCATTTGAACAAAATCTTCTTCATTTTCTTTTCAATTACATAGATCGAGTGAGCAAGTAGTATTGAATTTTTGTTCTGAGAATATTTTAAATACAACAATTTAACTGCTTTTGACCAATTGCAATAAATCACAAGGAATCTTGCCTACTTAGTTAGATTTTATCAGTATTATTACGTGCCATTAATATTGCAAATTACAAAGATTTAAACCCCATACGTGAAATGCATAAGTATATTTGATATTTACTTTGTTGCCCACGTTCGTAGAGAAAGTCGGTAGCATTTCACAATTAGTAAGTACCCATGTAACTCTAAACTAGGAGCAATTTGTCACATGTCAATAACTCAGAAAAATTTGAAGGTAATTGAATTATAGGGTTCGCAATAATGCACTTTCTATATTAAAGTGATCAGACCCTCACTACGTACAGTTTGCCTGTTGAGACATGCTCACTTCTTATCTCGTCACAAAATCGCAATTTAATGCAGCAATGAGGTGCTTCAATGAATTGTTAAACACTTTTGATTAATACCTCATTCGTCTAATTTCCAAAGAACAAATGTAAATTCATTAGCCAAAAGTGATAAAGCTTTCAGTTTTGGTTGCAGAATTTGCAGGTGATGGAAGAAGATTACAAGAGTCATTGCAATAATGGTGTGAGTGTGACCAGTATGTGAGAGGGTAAAGGGTACAATAAATTTGTTTTGAATGGTGTACCGCATGATTTGCAAAAAGTATCATCCTTCTTATGGTCATGGCGGATTTCTGCATTGCTTCTCGTTTGAATGCAGCAGGAGAACACAATAACAAATCCGCCACACATTCATACATGTTTTTGTACTTAAAAACTGTCTGCTGATCTTGTCAATCCGAAACTAATCAAGACAAATGAAAGTCGTCTCACCAATTGTTGCACACCTTTCGAAATTAATATGAAGCAAGTTTGGGCAAAAACTGGTAAATTTTGTCATTCATCCCACTCCACAACCTGTCGTGCTCTCGACTTTACCTTAAATTTTAGGTGCAAGTCTTCACATAAGAATGGTATATCCTCGTCGTCGTTACATTTTTAGTGCTAAACATTTGTCTTCTCATACGACGCAGTCAGTCAGTAGTAGGAATATCTCGGATGAAGTAGCGGGTTTTAACGTGGGAGGTGAGGTTGTACGTTGTAGTCCAACTATCTACCCAATAAGCAAAGCTAAATTGCACTTTTGTAAAAAAAAGACGCAACTTTTTACGCTAACCATATAGCAGTGCCAATAAAACTAGCTAAAATTGTAAAAAAAATCCAAGTTCCACCTTATTAATCCCAAAATGAAAAAAATATAGTAGGGATTCTGCACGATTCTAATTGTGCCGTTGTGTCACCCGAAGTTTAGGTTGATGGACAGAAACAAGAAATGTCACGATGGGAAGAAGGATCAACACGAACTTGATCTATATTTCCCAACAAGAGGACCGCAACAATCAAGTGACGATTGTTGATTTGTATACACCGCAAAACGGTGACGTTTTATGTAACGGACCTCTTTTAAATGATTGATGGATTTCTCTTACGCATTTATGTATGCGCGGAATGTGCAAAGCGATAAAATCTCAATTGGAGATGATCAAATTAAAAAAGGCATCAAAATCACAATCTGATAACAAAATCATTGCTGTAATCGATTACTCGTCGATATTCACGGCAGGTGATGGCAAACATGTAATGAATGGCTGGTACAAAATGTGTAATATTTATGCACATCCACACCTGTAAATAGGGAATCTCAAAGTACGACACACTAAGATTTGGGCGAAGAATGAGACTAGCTGTGGTCAGATAGATTGCGTGTATTCTTGTGGTGTGGTTTTTAAGCGTACATGTACATACGCGTCCAACGTCGTGAATCTTGTAGTTGAAACTTTGCAAATCACTGCGCAAGAATTCCGTTGATCTCTGATTAAAATTTACTAGTTTATAAAGTACTGCTAACCTGATTGCTTAATGCACTGATATGATTCTTTGACCTAATTGGATTTACATATGCATTATCTACTTATTAAGTGCGTATATTGCTAAAAACCTCCGGAAATGTCAAGTTTATCTTCATCTTGACATTATTGGCAAAAATCCTAATGGACTGTAACATAGTCACGTATTTTTACCCAAAAATTCACATTTTTTTGGTAAAAATAGCTGATGACTTTATAGTATAATTATCAAGTCATGAACACGTTTAATATAAACAATCATTTTACAGCTACATACATTTTCCTCTTATTGATCAATATTTATTGCCTGTATGGATTGGTATATTCGCAATACATAAATTGGCTGATCACATAGAAATCCCATCTCACTGCACTGGTGTGGGAAACATTTTGTACGTAGAATTGGTTATTTGGTGGAATGATCTAATGGCAATCATTTCGTGAGAGCATAATAATCCATCAGAATTTACGCAAGGTCAGACGATGCATGATTGGCCTATCAACAGGCACATAAGCGTTGCAAGGATCAATATATGTAATGTTTGGTTGGAATGAATTTTAAAATCCTTGGTTCCAGTCTCGCCCTTTGTTTCGCCGCATTAATCTTTATTTATTTCACTTTTTATCAATATTTGTATCCTAATTGTGTACAGATTACTCTCCACAGAATTTCCGTCTCTAATAAGAAGAAGGTAATTAGTTCATAGATTTACCTCCACAGCTATTGAGAAATTTGGTAGCGCTAATACAATAGTTACTACTTACATAGACACACATAAGCTAATGTGACCCTGAGCACTGTGTGCAAGTCGTAAAGCTACCGCACTTCCTCTCCGCCATGTAAATATATTTTTGTGTATAAACAAATAATTCATATCCAATCGCAAATAGCGAATCATTGACAGACAATTGACCCACCGTTGCGTTTCGTTTTGCATTAACGACAACTACGAAGGAGGGCCGCTAATTAAATTTTAGTGCTGCGATTGCATGGACGAATGGACAAAAAGTATGTCGTGTCGTGGAGTCCCAGTAGTTGATGATTAACACTCAATTCAATTGTCTGTCCTGGTCGTCATTATGCAACCACATGTATTTGTACAGGTCCTGAATATTTACACAGAGCACACACATAATGTTTTTCCACTACATTTTTGCCGACCTTTGCGCAAGTTTCATTGTTTACAAACAATAAGAGTCTGGTAATTAATTGAATAAGAAAATGGATCATTGACACTATGAAATGTGACAAGGATTCATTACTGTTCAAAAACTGAATAACTTGATATAAAATCGTTTTCTGCATATGCATATCATACTTACTCAAATATTTACTGGAAAAAGGTATTTGAAAGTTACTAAAACTGAAATTTATGCATTTTTGTCATTAATGTTAATCAGCTTTTGCTGACCTCCAAAACTAAAACGGGTAGACTCGTACAATGAAAATATAATTGTTGGAAAACAACTTTGTATGTAGAACAATATGGTCAAGTTTTAATTGTTCACAATTCATTTGATAAAAAAGCATGTCATCTCTTAATTTAATTGTGACGCCAAATCGTCATCGTCATGCAGCAGGATCACACATCCGAATTATGCAGATGTTCATTCAGTACTCGAATCTTATAATTTCCTAGTTTTTTTATATCTTTTCCTTGTATGGCGACTGGATTTTTCAACATAATCTGTTAACGCCAGCGTCAGTAGGCAAGAGAATTTTTTTCTACTGTCATGCCATAGTCATTCTATCAGTGATTTTCATACACTGCATTACACAACTCCATTACAATTATTCGGGTCTTTACTTCTTGTCAAACTTGATTTCTCGTCAATTTGCCAAGAAGACCACAACAATAAAATTAGACGTTCTACTCGATTAATGAGCTTCACTTGTCAAAATATGTATCTATATGCACATCTTGTCATAGCCATGCAGGTTTATGCACTTCTGAGACTCTTATTCCTGACTGTTGATTCAATTTGCTAAAATAAGATCATAATCACAGAACTAAAGCAGCAATGTCAAAATTTACAGATGGGAGTGTAATGACATGTTCGTTGCAACATTCTGTGTATGCTAAATGTATCATCCTCAGGCAAAAATAACATGTTCTGGTACTTTTACTACTTAATTCCAACCGAACCTTAAGCAACGCTAAGAAGAGAGGTTAACATCCTTCTGCCAAATTTGGTGTTACTCATCCTTCTTATTTTTGCCCACAAGTGTATAAAACCACGACAGTGCTAGTTTCTGCACAGATAGGATTGTTAAGAGAGCGAGAAAATGAGGTAAAGTGGGTTGACAACGGACTAGAAGAGTTTATTACCTAACCACATAGCGACGCTCGGCAGCAGAAGATCAATCTCAGTAAAGACCACAGAAGACTAATAAGCGTAATATCTTGGGTACACATTATGTAAATATACACCTTTCATTTTGCCACCTTTCTGGAAATGGGAATGACTACGCTCATGCCTGTGTAAATGCAACAAGTATTAAA